CTCAGAGGCTGTGCAGCCTTCAGCCCCAGCCTCGCCGCAGCTAACTGGCTGTTGGGAGCATGGAGAGCCTGGTGCTGGCTGCTGCCTACCTCTATTCCACAGCACCATTGTAATAACTCATGCAAATGTGAAGACTCTAGAGACAAAGGGAGGTCAAGTAAATGGCTCAGGGATTCATGTCGACAAACAATATTAGATGTAAAATGTGTACCTTTGACAAAAGTATTAATATAGTGCTTTTGATTTTTTCCTGATGAAAAGTGAAAAGTAGTAATTACGGAGTGACAGAGGAAAATGAAGTTTTGAACCAAAAGGCAAAGTTCGCGGATGAAAAAACCCAACCCAATTAGCTGCTTATGAGGAATCGAAATTCAGAGCATTTGCTCTTCCATCTCCCTCAACAACCTTTTGATTGACTCTGCTTAGATCTGTACAGCAAAGCAGATAAATCGACATGCCACATGCATGCGATGCTTAATCATTTGTAATAGCCATATTTGCCCTGACATATAATTTGCTATATCAAGCCAGTTTTTTCTTGCTCACCAGTGTTCTGCTGCTTGGCCTTTGCTTTATGAAACATTTAATAGTTTGCTTTAAATACATCAACATGCTGGTATACGATTGCCCTTTGTATGCCTCCTCGAGAAATCATGCACTTTCCTCCTATTGTGCTTTGCATGGTTTGTCATTGGTGAAGAGATCTCATGTCGGGAAAGAAGGGGTATTAAGGTCTTGATTTTCTGTCTTGTACAAGCAGCTACTCCGTGCATAAAGGCCATCAGTCCTAGTGAAGGCTGGACTACTGGTGGGGCTACTGTCATCATAATCGGAGACAACTTCTTTGATGGCTTACAAGTCGTATTTGGAACTATGTTGGTCTGGAGTGAGGTAAGCTATCTAAATTGGTGGGCTTTGAACTGTAACATTTTTCCATGAATGATTTTAACAAGCTGTCAATAGGCTATTGACATGAGGTATCATGAGATTTTGTTTCACGGTGCCTTTTTAACCATGAATTCACATGTGACAATTGACTACACGGAGAGAAATATACTTGAGGCACATCATGGCCCTCTAGTGGAAGACTTGCTGTAGGAGGTCTCCCAGTACAATTGGACAATTAGTGTTAAAATTACTAGAAGTAGCCTTAAGGAGACATATGGAGGCAATTTTCATATGAATGATGCCCTGTGGCCTTTCCTGCAAACGAAAACCAAGGATCATTTACAGAGCTTTTTCTTAAAAAAAACCTTGTAGAACCCGTGTCTTCGAAAGTGACAGCAAGAGGGGAGAATTTTGAGAGGACCAATGCGATTGAAAGTCATTTTCGTAATTATGTAAACTGGCTGGCATCAGCCTTATCAGTGCCGTCTTGATTTAAGGTATGTTTTCTGTACGATTTTTATAGCTGATAACACCCCACGCCATCAGAGTTCAAACACCACCACGGCACATTCCAGGAGTTGTTGAAGTAACTCTCTCCTACAAATCCAAACAGTTCTGCAAAGGTGCTCCCGGCCGATTCGTCTACACTGGTAAGTGTACAGTTTCTTTACTCCTTTCGGGATAATAGTTCCCATCTCTTAATGACGCGCAGGCAATGCGATGCGTGACCGTTACAATGCTGTTGAAATACAGGATGTGTCGGGAATGCAACTGGTGGAAGCTGGACCTCAAAGTACCTGTTTGTGTGGGCACCCAGGAGCTCTGGTGCCTATCCAAGCCCCGCGGGTCTTAAAAATGTCTCGACGTCTCCTGAGATCAAGCTCTCTCACAAGATGCCTGCTACTTCCTGTTTTCATTTTGGCCAGAAATAGATTAACAACGGTATTTCCTACTCCGCTCCGGCCAGAAAAAGGAGTTAAGAAGTATTGGGTGATGAAAAATATTTTTCAGACTATCTGTCCAAACTTCTTGAACTTCCCTGAAGGTTCAGTTGAAGTTTTAGGCACCGATTCAAGTAGCTGTTGTTGGATCCAAATAACTTTATCCAACCTTATTCACAATCTGGCTCTAAAAATTCTTTCAGACCTGAAACTTGGGATACAAACTCACGAGCCTGGGAATGATTTATTTGTGCCAATTCTTTTAAATACATTTGATTTTAATTTACAAGAGCACAAGAAAAAGTCGGAACTTTGTGGTTTCCAGTGGTTTTAGTATGAAAATTCTTACTTTGGGATGAAGTATTGCTGGCTTTTTATCGAAAATGTGTCTTACAGTTTTTCTGGCATTTAACAATGAATTTAACTGAGGTGCTGGGAGGAAAAGGGAGAAATAGCAATTTAATTTACCGTGCTTTTGGATGAGGATTCTAGGTAATAAATTTGATCTGATGAATCAATCTCTCTTTTGAAAACAAAGAGCCTTTAACTGTTTACTCGACAGACTGCGGGGATTCGGGGAGAGTTCTTGCTGCTTATTGGGTAGATAATGCAGATTGCAGATGATGTGCAGATGATGTGCATTTTGATGAATATTTTCCCACTAGACTGCAACTGTTTCTATCTATTAATTTAGATCTAATGGGAAAAGTGTGTTCCTGGGTAGTTGTAAGCTAGGACTTTTTAAACAGTTAACGCACTGAGGCTATGTTTTTCCGTCTGCCTCCCGTCTATCGCTGGAACGAACTTTTAAGTGAAGGTAGCATCTGAGATGCCTATCCTCCATCTGTCCCCAAAGAAATGGCAACCTGAGCGGAACCAGTGCTGGTGTTCACCCCTGGCTGCCTCACTGGCTGACGGGGGAGAGAATATTTGCATTTTCTTGATCTTTCTGACTGGGTCGCTACCGGATGGGTCACCAAATGGGATGGCGGTGCCCGCGGTGCTTTTGGTGTTAAGAATATATCTTTAAAGCTGGTGTTGTTTCGTAGTCGGCTGCAAAGGTGGTCACCGTAGGTGGGGCTGCGCGCAGTCGCGGTTACAGCCTTCAGGATGAACACAGCCCCCGCAAGGCTTCAGCGCAGCGGCCTGACAAGTATGGCTGTTTAGCTAAGATAAGTGTGCAGCAAAATAAAAAATGAATGAATTAAAAGCCTTAGACTGAGTTCCAGATATTTGGGCTGTTGCGAGCTGGTGCAGTTCCATGGCGCGCAGGGAAGCGCCGCAGATTTGAACCAGATGACGGTCTGGCTCTCGGTGCACAGCCCTGGAATTTCGAATTGCTTTACAGGAATGTCCTAAACTGATTTCTTAGGTGCGCATTTTGCAAATTTGGTGAATTTTGCCGTGTTGAACTTCTTTCTAATGTGTCAACGCAAACATGTATGAAACTGTAAGGAAAAGCCATTCGTGTCTTCTTTCCCGGGCTCGTCTTTTGTCTTTATTGCTAAGCAAAGATGTTCAAAAGCATCGTGAGAATGTCAGGAGCTTCTCCCGCTGGAATTAAATTTTAATAAAGTTGCATCACTAACAATGCATTAACGGGAGTATATATTTAAAACACCTTTTGAGGGAGACAAAAGCCTATATCCCAGCTATAAGAAAATAAAAAGATAAAGCCAGCGCCCGCCTGACCGAGCAACTTCTACTTGCTCTGCTTTATCCTGAAGTGATAGGGGGACGGAGATAGTCTTTGGCAATGAGAGCTGCCGTTGAGAGCGAAGCCAAGCCTCACTGTATTTCAGAAAACGAAAATGATGTAGCCCTGGAGGAGGGAGGGGCCGAATCCCCAGGGCATCTGTTTCCCATCAGTGTCCCACCATGCTTGCAGTCTGGCTTGGCACTCTAACATTTAACCTTCCCAGCATGAGGTAGACCATAGGGCAACAAGACTGCAGAATAATGAAACAAGAGTGTAGTGTGGTGTACAAAGCCTTTGTGAGCCGAGAAGTTGAGACATTAAATGATCAGGGTGCAGAGATATGAAAGTTCCAGATTTTTCTCAAAAGCCCCCATTAGTCTCACGCAGAAGGAGGAGCGCGCCGTCGCTCAGCAGGCAAAGGCGAGGCCTTTCCCCATCTATCCGTGCCTTTTTGCCCGCTGCTTTCAACTATTATAAAGATACAATTACCTTGGGAGATTGTGGCAGTTCAGTTGATTAGCACGGTGAATTAAAAGAATGAGTCACAAATGACATGTCCAGCTCTTCTCTACTAGTCCTTTGTATTCCCAGTGTACCTCACCCCTGTTGTAAGAAGGTCAAAAATTAGAGAGAGATAACAATTTTCAAGCAGCTAGCACTTAGGAGCAGAATTAACAATCATTCTGTATGTAATTGCCAGTTAATAGTAAATTGCCTTCTAGACTGTAAAATGCAATATAAACTGGTGGGCACCTAAAATTAAATTAATGAGGTATTTGCTGCATTTAAAAGTGAATAGTGCAAATTAATAACTGGGTACAATACTTGTTTTAATATATATTGAACAGTGCATCGTTTACTTGTTTAATAATAATTTTAAAAGTGCCACCTGAAAAATTCTCTCTCTCTCTCTCTCTGGGAAAATCGAGTGGTTTGTGCAGGTTGTAGCCATGATTTTGCTGGTAAAGTCTTCCAGGTTTCTAAATTAAATATCAGAGATTATTTTTTAATTAGAATATAAGCACTGCAGTGTTATTTGATTATGGCAAATTGTGATTTGTATGCTTCTAAATGAAATTACGTTACAGATAAAATTGCACCTTTATACACATATTTTTAAGCTCTGTAGCTTCTGGTGGTTTACTTTAAGATGAGCGGCAGTACCGTATTTACAGTGTGTTTGTCCCACCGCGTTACTGTTTTCTCGAAGTGTGTATTTTGCATCATGATTTCCTAGCGAATAAAAGAAGTGTAGTCCGTCCTAGAGGATATTAAAACAGTGTCAAAGAATGCCACTTGGCACTCGGAACCTTTAGCGCCGACTGCCTTCACCCTAACGTTTCTGTTGCGCACCCTTATTTTGATAACTTTTGCTCCGTTAAAGAAATGGCCCAAATTGTCGGGAGGCAGCAGCTCATTCGCAGTAGACTGTACCCGGTTGCTGGACACGGTATTGGCATTCGATTGCAAACATGTCCAAAGCAGACGCGGAGAGCGCGTGAATGTTGAATACATGGAACCATTCCCAGGTCTGCAATGCATTTGCTAGATGTGAACATAAAAATGATTATTTTGCACAAAGACGTGCATTCAATTTTAAGCTTATGAAACCATTACTCAACCAGTAATCGCTCACAGTTTGTGTTCCTTCTGATAGAGCGTTGCTGTTGAGGGAGCGCGGCCGGGCTCTAGGGCTGGCACGGCCCCAAGGGGGGGAAGCCCTCTTTAGTCACTACATTGTCCAGATTTTTCGGTTTGGCTGGGTTTTGCCTCAGCACGGAGACCTCCGCTTTGGCTGGGTTCCCTCGGTTAACCCCCACTCCGCTTCCCCCTCCGAAAGATCTCGTGTTCCTCAAGTATTTTCGAGATCTTTTGTGTGCATTCAAATGTGATTCTGTCAATGGCGCTGTTACACTGTTTAGAGTCAATAGCTCCCTTCCATCACAGCCAACACAAACTAGCTGTCTCATAGGTCAGTGCTCTTTAAACAAATTACTTGTATCCACAGAGCAAATGATTGTTAATTGCCTCCCACAAATCATACTATTTTTACTATGCTAAACTACATGCTAATGCCTTAGTTAAATTTAAATCACCTGATTATTTCTTGTACGTATTCAATTATTGTTCTTAAGTATGAAAACTGGTGACTTTGCAAAACGAATGCTAAAAATATATACAATGGATACAGGACTTTACTGGAAATCCTTACCAAAAAAAAAAAAAAGTACGGTTGCATTCATTTTAATGAAATCCTCAGCATTTCTAATTCATATATATTGCATTCCCTTTTTTTTTTTTTTAAGTGCTGTTGTCCTGAAGCAACTTACAGTCACTGTTATTACAGTATCGGTTATTTATTGATCAGACCTTGTGTCAGTATCGGTTGTTAGCAAGCTGAAAAAAATCAGGCTAGAACAAATATTCTTGCCCTTTCTTCAAGATGGGTCTTTCTAAGTCAGTCAAAGTTAGCGTTAAAGAGTCAAAACCAGAAAGTACCTCTGTGAATTTGTTTAACCGCTTTGTTGCGCTAGTGTGAAATATATTTTTCTTAAAATGGTAATGTCGAAGAGATAGAGATCCCGGTTAACTGTCTTTTCTTATAAAGAAGGTTTTTCAGAATGACATACATTTTTAATTAATAGGGCGATGCTAAACATACAGGGATGATTTAGTAGCATCAAGTCAATAGCGTGTTGGATAATGTGTATTATATAATAGCTCTTTTTTAAACAGTAGCAATTCCAGGTTTATCAGGGTCATTGTTGTCCCCTTTCTTTTCTGTCTCAAAGGAGGCCAGAAGAATGAGACATACCATTTGTGCTATTGCACAAGTAGACTATTTGTCCTAATCAGTGACACCCATTTACTAGAATTGCTTAAAATGAACTATACCTCATACAGAAATCGCACATTTAGAGTGTTCCATTCATCATCTGAAAATTGAGGGCCAGTAAACTTTTCTGTTCCTCCAGCGGGATCATAGACATGCATCAAAATGTTAAAAAAT